CACACTTTATGAGGCGCACAAACTTTATCTTGATCTCCAATTTTTAGTCCAAATTATGCAAAGTATACTTTTTTCACAAAGTCTGTAATATTCTGCTGTTGCTTCAACACTGTATATTCACCACAGATGAAACAGAAACTGTCTGGCGAATTAATACACTTTCGTGGAGCCATAACATAACGGTTGAAGAATGACGAGCTAACATGAACTGCGATGAAAAAGTGTGAACAGCCTAGAACCAAGAACCTGATGATGATTCATGCACAAGCGTGTGTGGACTGCAGGAGAGAGCAGCTCTGTGTCTGTACAAGAGAAGTCACAGTGCTGGCCAAGCCCCCTTGCACTGACAGGAGCTGCTGCTATCTGCCCTGTGTCTCCCTCCCACTGGATTCTTCAGGAAAGATTAACCCCTTCTACCATTAGAAGCACAGACTCAGGGGTGAGGCTTATACATAAAGCATGCTGCTGAGTATCCCAGTAGTCAGACATGTCACTCAGAGCAGCACTTGTAGGGGAGGAGGGGCAGAGATTGTTTACCTGCAAATAACAACAAAGGGCCAGAAGAGAACTAGGGAAATTATGAAATAGAATTTTTTTTCCCTAAAACTTGATTAGCTTATGTATATATTGCTGACCATCAGATTTACAGTACTATATTTTTTTTTTACATAACTCGGACAACCCCTTTAAGGTTTTTTTGGCATTTTATATCTTAAATGCACTTATGTGAATTAATTAATAGTAATTTGGACTTTAAATTTGGTTAAAAACCCATAATTAAAAGAAAATACCAAAAATTTAAAAAATTTGATAAATATGAAGACAATTTTGCATTTTGTGGCAAATCATGACGTCTAGGAGTTTTTTCAATATTTTATTTGTTTTCAGCACACCAAAATACATGGAAATTAGATGAAAATAATCAAACAGCTTTTTAGTCGCCAGACCTGTGTTATCAAAATGTATGTAAATTCAACAAAATTCCCGTAGTTTTCATGTTTAAGCTTTGTAGGGTGAAACTGGCACCTGAACCACCCCACTTTCATGAACATCCTATACCTATCCCTAAGGATAGTTACTGTATAATCAGAACTCTGACAGGATGAAAAATTATCCATAAGTATATGCTCTGCCTTCCCTAAGGAATATTTCTGTCTGCAGCGTTACTGGTACTGCCACCCTTTCTCCATCCTTTTGGTGTCTAAATAATATATTCAGACTTTTGAAATATTTTAAAGGGAACCTTTTCTAGGAGAAGCATGGACACTGCCATTGCTGATTCCAGGTTCTGAAAATACTTGGCTGTCATGATGAAAATATTTTGAGTCATAGACCTGCACCATATATAGATAAGGACTTCTAAGCCTGCTGTAGTTAGTATCTTGTATCTTTCCCGTAGGTGTTTCATTTTCCTTTGAATTGTTTTTCTGTTGCATTCTGTAAAATACGAGTTTAAACTTCAATAAATAATGTATCCTACTGTGCCAGGCAGGTTATATTCACTAGGATCCGATTATAATGGCTACATTTTTGGTAGAGTGTTGTAGAAAATAACACTTATGCCCTAGCAAAACTGCAAAAGTCAATGTAGGACAGGTTTTGTTGCACGGCTAACATTACAAAAAATACCCCTATATTGCAATGGTTGATCCTATCACAGTTTTTCATTTAAATTCCTTCCTGGAAGTAAATGGTGATAATTGTTAGTACAGGGGAATTGATTATCAGTTTAAATATTACTCAAAATAACACCTGCCATGACTTGGTATATCTATTTCTTACATTTGTTATGTGTATTATTTAGTATTAATTTTAGATATCGCCCTTCAAGATTGCTTTAGTCTTCTTACATTATTTAAGCAACCCATTAACCTGCAATATTTTGGTACACTTCATTAGCTTCATAACTTTTATTAAAGTTGAAGGCACATTAAAACCTAACTAAGCTTCAGTATAGCCTTGCCCCCATTCTAAGCCTACTCTATCTACCCTGTAAAAGGAAAGATCCTTATACATACCAATTCTGAAGTTGCTCTGGTATGGTCACATTATTTCCCCAGCACCAGCTTCAGAGAGATCGCCAACAATTGCTGCAGAGCTTGTTTAATAATGTCACACGTAGGCTTGCTATGGGGCATCCATTGTTGGCTGTCCCTCCACTACACTAAAGCCAGCACTGGGACCTGATCATGTGACTGGCCTGGAGCAACTTCAGAATAGGAAAGTATAGGAATCTTTCATTTTACAGGGTACATAGAATAGGCATAGAATGGGGGTGGGGGAGTATATTAGTTAGGTTTTGACTTGCTTTCCACTTTAATTAAAGCGTTACTAAACCCACAACAGTAAATTCAGAGGTTAATCCTCTGCATAGTGTAAAAAGATTGTTTGATCCTCTCCTCTGATCCTGCCCTTCTTTCATTGCTCCCTAAATATCTCTTGATAGAACAGAGGTTTGGAGTGACTCTTCACATTATTATTATTATACAGTATTTATATAGTGCCAAAGGGTTTGCTCAGCGCTGTACAATAGCAAGGGGGACAGAACATGAGACAAGACAAAAACAATACAATACACGAGGGGTTCGAGGGCCCTGCTCTTTCGAGATTACAATCTAGGAGGGAGGGGAAAGTGGTACAGGAGGAAATGGCTGTGGGGAATGAAGTGGTGGGAGGAGTGGGGGAGGTCAGCTGTTAGGTGAGGGTGGGGTAGGCTTCCCTGAAGAGGTGGGTCTTCAGGGTGCGCCTGAAGGTGATGAGGGTAGGTGATAGTTTGATGGATTGGGGTAGGGAATTCCAGAGGATGGGGGAAGTCCTGGAGAAATCCTGCAATCGGGCGTGGGAGGAGGAGACCAGGGAGCTAGAGAGTAGGACGTCCTGTGAGGAGCGAAAGGCACAGGTAGGGTAGTATTTGGGTACCAGGTCGGTTATGTAGTTTGGGGTGGCATTGTGAATGGCTTTGTAGGTCAGGGTTAACAATTTGAATTTGATGCGCTGGGCAATCGGGAGCCAGTGAAGCGATTGGCAGAGGGGGGGGGCTGATGTGGAGCGGTTGGTGAGGTGGATGAGTCTCGCCGCTGAGTTCAGGATCGACTGGAGTGGGGATAGCGTTCGTTTGGGTAGGCCAGTGAGAAGGGAGTTGCAATAGTCCAGGCGTGAGATGATGAGGGAGTGTACGAGTTGTTTAGGAGTGTCTGGGGTGAGGAATGTACGTATCTTGGAGATGTTGCGGAGGTGGAGCCTGCATGATCTTGATAGCAATTGAACTTGGGGTAGGAAGGAGAGGTGTGAGTCCAGGGTGACACCCAGGACTTTGGACTGTGGGGTGGGAGTGATGGTGGCATTGTTAGTAGTGATGGAGAGGAGGGGGGGGCGCGGGGTGGGGGAAAGACCAGGAGCTCTGTTTGGACAGGTTAAGTTTGAGGAAATGGAGTGACATCCAGTCTGATATGTCGTTCAGGAGGTGGGCGATGCGGGCGGAGAGTGAGGGGGTGAGGTGGGGGGTGGAGAAGTAAATTTGTGTGTCGTCGGCATAGAGGTGGTAATTGAAGCCGTGGGAGTGTATTAGTTTGCCAAGGGAGGAGGTGTAGATGGAGAAGAGGTGGGGTCCGAGGACAGAGCCTTGGGGGACTCCGACAGAGAGGGGGAGGGAGGGGGAGATGGCAGTGTTATAGGTGGCGCTGAAGGAGCATTGGGAAAGGTAGGAGGAAAACCAGCAGAGAGCAGCGTCCCTGATGCCAAGGGAGTGCAGTTTAGTAAGGAGGAGAGGGTGGTCGACAGTGTCGAAGGCTGCGGAGAGATCAAGGACCAAGAGGACAGAATAGTGGCCATTAGCTTTGGCGGTTAGTAGATCGTTGGTGATTTTAAGTAGGGAGGTTTTGGTGGAGTGTAGGGGACGGAAGCCAGACTGTAGAGGGTCAAGGAGGTTGTTATCAGTGAGGTGGGCGCTTAGGCGATTGTAGGCCAGGCGCTCAAGAAGCTTGGAAGTGAATGGCAGCAGGGAGATGGGTCTAAGGTTGTTAAGGTCAGTGGGGTCGAGGGAGGGATTTTTGAGTATGGGGGGGATGTGTGCGTGCTTTAGAGGGGAGGGGAAAGTGCCAGTGGAGAGGGAGAGATTGAAGATGTGGGTGAGGGAGCGAATGATGGAGTAGGCGGGTGACTGGAGGAGCTGTGAGGGGATAGGGTCCAGGGGGCAGGTGGTGAGGCGGGCTTCAATGAAGACATGCTCAGTTTAGTGTGTATTGCTAGAGAGGTTTTTTTTTGGGGGGGGGGTGTGCATGTGATGAGCACAGGGCCAATCAGCACTGTCCAGACAGAGATCAGGAGCCCTGAATCCTCCTAGAGGAGAATGAAAACTCCTCCTACAAGCTTTAAGCAGTGCTCTGCTGGACACTGATAGAAGTCACAAGACTGCTCCAACTGCTGATGAGAAAAGGTATTTAGCAGTTTATATTTACTAAAATAATTACATTTCAGTGTTCTGTGTACTGTGGGAGACCTGATATAGTGAATGCAGGGTAATGGGTTTCGTAACACTTTAAAGCTATCAAACTGCTTGTAAGTTGGATGCATGAGGGGGGATAAGGTAAAAAAATTACAAAACCTTGCCTGGGGCTGTCCATGCAAATTAATCATGTGCTTAAAGTGTATCTAAAGCAGTGATGGCGAACTTTTTTGAGCCCGAGTGCCCAAAACTGCAACACAAACCAACTTTTTTATTTCAAAGTGCCAACACTGCAATTAACCACTTGCCTACCTGGACGCACTGACAGACGGCACTGATCGGTGGCACTGCTGGGCATCATTGATGGGTGGCACTGATGGGCAGCACTGATGGGCGACACTGCTGGGCACTGACAGGTGGCACTGCTGGGCAGCGCTGACAGGCGACACTGCTGGGCACTGATGGGTGACACTGCTGGGCACTGATGGGCATCATTGATGGGCGGCACTGATGGGCAGCACTGATGGGCAACACTACTGGGCACTGACAGGTGGCACTGCTGGGCAGCACTGACAGGTGGCACTGCTGGGCAGCACTGACAGGTGACACTGCTGGGCACTGATGGGTGACACTGCTGGGCACTGATGGATGGCACTGCTGGGCATCATTGATGGGTGGCACTGATGGGCAGCACTGATGGGCGATACTGCTGGGCACTGACATGTGGCACTGCTGGGCAGCACTGACAGGCGACACTGCTGGGCACTGATGGATGGCACTGCTGGGCCATCATTGATGGGTGGCACTGATGGGCAGCACTGATGGGCGACACTGCTGGGCACTGACAGGCTGCTGGGCACTGATGGATGACACTGCAAGCAGTTAATCTCACCTCTGGCAGCGTCGGTATGGCTTCCAGCCCAGCAGCTCATTCCCATTCATGCTGAACACGTTGACCCTGGCCCCGGAGCAGTGTGGGAGCCTCTTCCTCTCTTCCGCGCCCATCCCCGGCTACATCACCCCTGGTGCCAGAGCCGCATTGGAGCCGTTTCCTCTCGTCCACGCCCACCCTGGCCCCAGAGACATGTGGGAAATGTAGTTTGATGGGGGTCCAGTGTGGACGAGATCTGGATGGCCGGTCCATGCGCGCTCATCATCTTCTTCCTGGCGTGCCCACTGAGATGGCTCTGCGTGCCAGCTCTGGCACGCGTGCCATAGGTTCGCCATCAATGATCTAAAGGGAAAGCTTTTATGTAGTTTTCAATAGAGTGGGGGAAGTTTGAACCCATGGTAGGTTTTTTTATTGCTTTCTGTGTCCCCACCAGGAACATTCACTTTTTTATTTATCCTGGTGACTACTGTCACACCACTGGGAATGAGAAGAAAATTCAAAATTGCATGAAAGTCACATGATTGCTGGCTGCGCCTATGGAAGAAAAGCCCCTGACAACTGGCAGAGAAACATCCATGAAGATGGCAATAGTGGCTGAGGATCATCTAAGGAGAGTTCTGAGTTGTCATTAATATAACACAGAAAACTCCCAGTAAAGAGTTTGCCATAATTTGCAAGTATGCTCTGAATACTTGCATATAATTGCTAGCACCCCCCTATCCCTCAAACAAGTACGCACACACACACACACTCTGGTTTATGTAAATAGTTGTGATGTTCCATGTGATTTGCAATTTTTCAACCATATGTTTTTACTTGGAGAATACATTTTTATTGTTTATGGGGAGGCGGTGATATTGTACTTGTAATTTCTTAGAAGTTGAAAACTTTTGTATTCGTTTAGCCTAACCTCATCTCACATCTAACTTTTGATTCCGCTGAATACACAAGACACATCACATATTTTAATGCTGCTTCATATGAGGGCAGTATACAGGGCAGTGTATATGCAATATAGTTTTTTTTACTCAGATTTATGTTGAGGTTGTCATATGGTTATGTTTCTTTATAATGGATAATGAGCCCCAAGCCAGATTTTTTGCACCTGTTTTTTAATATCTTGGAGATAATTTAGATTTTCTTCTTTTTTTTGTGCTACAGTTTAGGTTGAAACAGTGTAAAAGATTGCACAGCTGTTTGTTAGCTTGAGGCTCTTGCTTTGTGTTCTGGTTATATTTAGTAGGAAGCTTTTTTTTTATTGGTCTCTACAGAAATCTTTTTACATCTGGCATTTTCAGGAACACCTTGTACGAAAAGAGCACAAGACAGTTTTTCTTAAATTGTCCTTGGTGTGTCATATTAGTCCGCTTTGCCACTTAATTCCTGCTGTAAGGACTGACTGATAGTTTCTCCACTGCAGGATCTGCTCTGTGTGCTCTCCATGTACACTGCTACCCACAATGAAAAATTACTGTGTGCTTTCTGTTAGCAGACATATTTCTAAAAAAGGGATTACATTCTTAAGTAAATGTCATGCAGCAGGATGCTAGAACCAGTATGTGTGACCAGGATATGGATTTTAAGGTCTAAACTAGCATACTGTAAAGTAAAGAAAACATAATGGAGCTCTTTTTTGTTTCTAATTTGGCTCTCTAAAAATGTGGAAGTACTAAAAAAAAATAAGTCATTGCTTTATTCTTTTATTTTTTTTGGTACATTTTTATTGGGCTTTCAAAAGCAAATAGTACAAACTGTACACTAATAGCAGGTATAAGAGAAATGTAAGTATATATTAGGAGTGAAAACTGACTAAACCTATCACATAAACAAAAGTACCAAATTATAAAAATACCAAAATTCAAGTCACCAGAATGTAGGAATCACAAATTCTAAGAGAGAGCAATCAACGGATTCCACTATACCACCAATCAGAGTACAAATTATGTTCATAAGGCACAGTTACGTGGATGAGACCTATTAGTCCAGTTGGACGAAGAGGCCCATTGAGGGCCAAATGCCACTACTTGGCCTTTTCATAATGCAAGCATTCTTTCATTTGAGTAGTGGAGGCTAACCAGTGTGCCACTGGAAATATTAAAGGGTCTAGAAAGCAGGCTAGATGTTTACACTTACTCAGATGGAAAGGAGTATAGAACTAGGATAGCCAAGAGTACTGGCCTCTGAAACTCAGATTTTCCCAAAATATTCAGTGGACTCTGTTGAACGCCTTCTCTGCATCCAAATAGATAAGCAGAGAAGGTGTTCTATGAACCTCAGCAAAGTGCAACACGTTAATTATTTGCCTGGTGTGTCGGAAGCCTGTCAACCCTTGGTAAAACCAGTTTGGTCCGGCCTGATCAAGGTGATTAAGATACCAAACAGGCGCCCTGCTATAAGTTTTGTGTATATCTTCACATCTGTATTATGTAAAAAAAAAGAGGCCTAAAATTGGTCAGTGTCTTAGGATGCTTGTCAGGCTTAGGAATAGTTATAATGTAAGCCTTCAGGCTTTTTGAGCTGCTGTTTGAAAAACATTTTGTAAATGGGGAACTAATACACTAAAACAATTTGTAGTAGTCATTGGTAAATCTGTCCAGGCCTGGAGCTTTACCATTAGGTAGAAAGGCAAAAGTCTTAGCAATCTCTGCTTCTGAAAATGGAGTGTTAAAGGAAGAGAAATGATCTAGAGAAAGAGTAGGAAGTTGTAGTCAAGCTAGGAAGCAACCTATGGTTTGTGAAGATGGTTGGGGTGTTTGGAAGACATTTTTAGGTCATACATGTCACTGTCAATCTGAAAACAAATTTGCCATGTCCTGGGGGTTAGTTATTTTGTTTTTGGCCTGGGTATGAATGAGAAATGGTATTTTCGACTTAGATTTCTGGGATTTGAGCCTATTGGCCAAGATTTTCCCTGGGCAGTTGTCGCTGGTGTAGTGGCAAATTTTAAGCATCCTTACAGACTTATCATATTATTCAAACAGTAATCTTCTCAATTTTAACCTAAATCTAATGAGAGCGGATAAATGTTGAGGGCAAGGGTGGGCTATATTAGCTGATTCAAGTGAATGGATCTCAGCTAGGATCAAGTCTAATCGATTTTTGAACTGCTTCCTGTCTCGAGCTCAAACTTGAAGGATAATACCTCTCATATATGCCTTATGGGCATTCCAGACCAGGAAGGCATCCTCCAGGGAGGAGTCAAAGTAATCCCAGATTTGCTGAGTTAACCTTTGGACATTGTCCAGCATTTTAAGCACTTTAGAATTACACCTTCAAAGTCTAACTGGCTGACTGGAATCCTCCACATATAGGGATATAAGTGCGTGATAGGAATACATAATGTCCAATGTGGAGGAGGAGGATGCTTGCTGAAGAATCCATTTGTCTACAATAAACATACCAATTCTAGTGTAGGTATTGTGCCTGCAAGAAAAAAAAAAGGTGTAGTCACTTTTGCTGGCATGGTGGCATTGCCATACATCAAATAAATCTTTTGTATGTAGAAGGGAGTGAAGCATGGTGTCTTTTTCTTGGGAGTATTGGAAGAGTCAATAGAGGGATCTGAGGTTAGATTGATCTGAGGTTAGATTGAAGTCTCTGCATATGAGGAGATGGTCCCATTTGACTTCAGAGATTCGTCGTAGAAGCTTACGAAGAAAAAGAAGCTGATTGGTCTTGGGGGCATATATTTTGACCAGCATATATGGCTGATTACACTGATGTCAACAGGCAAAAAGTTTTGGGCATAAAATTAGCTAATCTTACTAATTTTGGGGTGCTGAAACCGAAAATGACCCTAAAAAAGGTTGATTGGTCTAGTTTCCCATGATATATTCACCCATCTAATGACGTAAGCCATTCAAAACATGATGCAACTTCAGGGTGCATATTGCGCAATTGATACGGATGACCAATAGAAAATTGCATGTATACTGAGATGATGCAATATTAGCCTTTAATTGCATCACTTCACTGCATAAAAGCTGCAGTATCTGTAGCTGATTGTAGTTCGACAGCGTCTTTTATTTTGATTTTGCTTATATAGGCTACTCAGTAAGGCCTCGAACTTGTGTGAATAAAGCAGTAATTTCTGCTATATGAGCGGGTGAAATAACTTTTATCTCACAAAAAAGGAGATAACAGGAAGATTAAGAAAGCCTACAACTTGTATTTTGAGCTGCAAAGATAGGATGACCAGACAAGAGCTGGTGCACCACATATAATTCGCTGCAATTCTTGTGGGACGGCACTGGAGCAATGGTTGAATGGAAAAAAGGCATCTATGCCTTTCGCTGTGCCAATGATTTGGAGAGAGCCAACAGATCATGTTAGTAATTGTTACTTTTGTATGGTGCCTCCAATTGTAAAAAAGGGCTAAATAAGAAGAAAAAGTTATCTGTGCACTATCCAAATATTCCATCGACAATACGTCCAGTTCCTCATGGAGAGGGGCTACCAATTCCTAAAGCACCAGAATCCTTCGTGGTTGAGTCAAGTGAGGAAGAACCTGAAGCGTGTAGTCACGGACACACTGTATTGTATTTCCTCGAATACAAGAGAAAAGCCAAGAGAAGTAGAAAACCGACACAAACTGATGACAAAACTAGTGAGAATTCTAAGTATTAAAATGATTCAACTTAGCTTATGAAGCTATAATTTTTTCTTGCGTAATCCTATGCAATATATTATGCCATTTAGGCTTTGTTATGTAGTCAATATCACTTGCTTTATATTTGTGGAAAGACATCTATCTAATAATTAGTGTGCATTATGTGTCATTACGCCTATAGTAGAAAACTTCCGTTTACAGAAAAACTAGAGCCAATTGACAAATTTCATTGTTATTTTGAACTCAGAATGTGAAATTCATTAAGAAATGGATGCCTTTTGTTTCCAAAACTGGCAAAAAATAAAAATTTGTTGAACAGTGTTATTGATGTCACAGGCAAGAACAACGTACCTGCCCTGGAAATAAGCAGGAATGACTTAAAAGTGAAGGCTAGAGTGTAGTTATTGCTACAAGGTTTCATCATCTTTCTTGCAAGGAGCTGAAGCATAGCTGTGA